CTCAGAGGCCCCACCCTCACTGTAACAAACATTTGAATGCACCCACATCCTGCATTAAATATAACTCTTCTTTAAGAATTTTTTATAAATTTGATTTTGAAATTACTTGACTATGAGTAAATCATTTATTTACTATTGGCTATGATTTCTCTTTAATCATCTGGGACTCTTGCCAAAAATCCAACTTACAAATTGTTTTCAAATATACTGACATTTGTCTGGGTACTAAACTTAACAAATATCAAAGTTGACATACTATTTTCTCAAGGCAGTTAAACATTAGTCGATTTCAACTTTGCTTTTTTCATATTTTGCAGCCCCAAAGTTTTTCTTTCAGCTGGTGGAGGGCCTTTTAAAGTCCACCTTGCCCTCTAGAGAGGACAGATTTGCTCACAAAGCCAGGGCACTTGAATTGTCCCCATCTCTAGACATGCAGGTCAACCCGAGGGTCTGGTGGCAGAGACTACCCACTCTGGATTGACTCCAGGGCATCCTAAATCAGGCAACTTTACTCTCATTTTGAAAACAAAGTGATTTGTCAAACATTGGATTAAATATGATTTAATGCTTAAACCTTTATTGGAATTTCATATTAATAAATTTGCAAATAAAGCAATACTTTGACAGGGTAAATGTCCTGAGGTAGGGTTTAGAAGTCAGGATCACTGTCACCTTAATCAAGCACCCCTTCCCTCACCCTGTCCCCAGCTCTGCGGGAACAGCCAGCTCTCCACCTGCTCCCCTCAACTCCCCCAGGAGGGGGCACCGGGGAGGTGAACCATTGCAGTGCAGGATGTGCCCAGTTTGCAAGGTTTTGTGATTGACAAGGGACAGTCCCCCATGTAGATTTCACTCAGGGCCAGCCCCACGACCGGGAGGTGGCAGATTTGTTTGCACATTTTATTGCACTCTGTTTGGGGCCTTTTAAAGCAGACCAAGTTTTAAAATTCCCTCTGCCGCTCACCCTCATTCCCCTCCCCAATCCGTGTAAGAGCCTCTGGCCCCTGACCTCTGACTACAGAGCAGAGGGAAGTGCTGCCTCCTTCAGGAAGACACACGCACCTCCCAAATGGTCTCCAAGAGGGGCGTGATGGGGTTCTAAAAGAGGAAAGGAGGTGATGGGATAGCGAGGAAGGCGTGGGCAGGTAGAGGGCAAGGAAAGGACTTTAATCTCAGTTCACACACTTTGATTCATCTCTATCAAGAACAGTTAAAAAAAAATTAGACATTGGACCTGCTGACTTCACTCATGGGCATCTAGACTTAGGGCTGTATGCAGAGGTAATAGCTAAGATTTATTGAGCACTTACTTAGTACTTTATAACCAGTGACTAATTGAAACCCATGAGGAAAATGCTATTATTAACCCCACGAAATGGGGTGAAGACCTGGAGGCACAGAGAGGGAAAGTAACTTGCCCAAGGTCACCCAGCCAGAAAATGGTGGAGCCAAAATTCAAATCCACATGGCCTGGCTCCAGAATGCACACTGTCAGTCACATTAGGCCTTGGTTATTCTTAACAGAAAAGAGCTGTAAGAGTAAATCATGGGCAGGCTCACCCTGGGGCAGTGCACTATAATTAAAACTTATATTTAGAGTATTTTCATGACATGTGGATTTATGTTAAAATAATTTTAAAAACACAAAATTATACATATGTGATTTTAGCTCAAAAATACGTTTTAAAAGAACTGAAAGGGGCTGTGCGTGGTGGCTCATGCCTGTAATCCTGGCACTCTGGGAGGCCGAGGCAGGCGGATTGCTCGAGGTCAGGAGTTCTAAACCAGCCTGAGCAAGAGCGAGACCCCATCTGTACTATAAATAGAAAGAAATTAATTGGCCAACTAATATATATAGAAAAAATTAGCCGGGCACATGCCTGAAGTCCCAGCTACTCGGGAGGCTGAGGCAGAAGGATTGCCTGAGCCCAGGAGTTTGAGGTTGCTGTGAGCTAGGCTGGCGCCACAGCACTCACTCTAGCCTGGGCAACAAAGTGAGACTCTGTCTCAAAAGAAAAAAAAAAAAAAGAACTGAAAGGAATACATAAATGTAGATAAAATGTTTTAAAAATATGTATACATATATCTCAAGCATACAGCAAATATTTGAAGATTAGATTATGAATGGGCGGGCAAAGAACTTATGAAGACCAAACCCCACCCCCAAAAGGAGCAGAAAAAAAAAGATTATGAATGGGCTTTTTTCTTCTTCCCATTTTCTTATATTTCCCAAATTTCTTTAATGAAAATAATTTTCTTTTCACATAGGAGGAAATTTTAAGGCCTTACTGTTGTAAGATTATTTGCTCTTGATAAATGTTTGAAAGAGAAATTTCTGAGAAACTGGAAAACCAGGAGCAAGTTGTTTAAAAAATAAATCGTGGAGGGTTTGCTAAAAAAACTCTTTACATTTGTAATATTCTTAGAAGTAGGCCTTAGCACACACAGAGAAAAACAGGAGACAAGAAAATGGAATGAAGGATTCCATTAAATAACAAATTCAATGAGTAGATACGGAGTCCTAAGTGCTGGCAAATGGGACAGGCAGTTCTTGCCTTCAGGGACCTTCTAGAAAGATCTTCTGGCTCACACTTATAATCCCAGTGCTTTGGGAGGCCAAGGTGGGAGGATTACTTGAGTCCAGGAGTTTGAGACCAGCCTGTGCAACATAGCAAGATCTCATCTCTAAAAAAAATTTTTTTTAATTAGCTGGGCATGATGGTACACACCTATAGTCCCAGCTACTCAGGAGACTGAGGCAAGAGGATCATTTAACACCCAGAAGTTCCAGGCTGCAGTGAGCTATGATCCCACCACTGCACTCCAGCCTGTGCAACAGAGTGAGACCTTGTCTCAAAAAAAAAAAAGGAAAGAAAGAAAAAAAGAAAGATCTAATCCTGCTTCCTGTCAAAGACAAGATACAGCTTGCTTATATTATTAAATATATTCATCTCCTTAAAAAGTTAGTTCCCCTCACACTCGAAAAGCATCACCCCTTGGGCAGATGAGGCCATGTGATATGGAGGAGCCCTGGACACTGAGCTCCAGTCCAGGCTCTGCCACTGGCCACTTTCACCTCCTGAGCCTGTTTCCCAACCAGGAGTCAGCCAGAGGTGGGCAACCTCTCGCTCTTCTCCAGCCCTAACATTCAATTCTGTGACGTGGAAATGGCTAGAATGACTCAGCAAGAGATGTCTTCTGCAACTGAAGGGACCTGGGTCTTGGCCAGCAGCCCTCGGGAGGTTGGGGACGAGAGCCTTGGCCCAGGGCAGCCAGGCAGGGAGTGGGGCCGGGTACAGACGCCCCTCCTGCCTGCTGAGCTAGGTGCGGCTGGGGCAGAGCGGCCGACAGGACAGGACCGGAGGACACCGCCGGCCTGCCCGCCTCCCGCTCTTGCTCTCGCCCTGCCCAGGCCCGCAATTACACAGGCTCACGCTGTTCTGCAGCTAATCATCATTTCTGAGGCGGCCAGCCAGGGGCCGCCGTTCCTCCCCACACAGCCGCAGCTGCCACGACAGGACCTCCCGCCCACCCCGGACCTCGCACAGCCCAGGGCACATTCCACTGCCCTTCTTTACTTAGGAACAGACTCTGGCACCCGCTGTGCCAAGGAGGTACTCCAGAAACTGTGTATCAAACAGGGGACAGAAGCTGAGTGGGTCAAGGCTGGATTCGAAGACACAGGCTTGTTTCAACCCCTTGCAACAGATTCTGCCGGGAGTTTGCAGATGTCTGTGCCACACCTTCCACCTCCTGAATCGGAATCCCTGTGGGTAGGACCCCCAGATGTCCAGAGTTTCAGGGTTTGCCTGTAAGTGCATATTCTCGTATCCACCAGACTGTCCCCTAAGTGGCTGGAAGTGGGGAGGAAGTCCAAGGCGGGAAGGGGGCACCATCTCCCAAGCTGGTGTGACAGGGATGTGCCGCAGACCTGGGCCAGGTATCCCCCCCCAGAGGGGGCAGGCGGGATGCGGCCTGGTGGGCATCTCCCCCCTCCCACAGCCTCCTTTGTCTGTTTCCATGTGCATGGACAGACACTGCCCAAGCCCGACGGCTCCCTCAGAATGTGCTGCACCTCCATCCACAGCCACCCCCACCACAGCCCTCCCTTCTCCCAACAGAGACCCTCCTGCCTCATTACTTAAATAATCTTTATTTCTCATGCACTAGGAAAGACGGATCATACGAAACACTGCATTTCACAGCAAAGGTCTCGGTCCAGAACACAACATGGGGGCCCAGCCAGGATCCAGATCTGCTCAAAGCTCTGGGGGCCGTATTGGGACACTACTCCCAGGGCTAGTGGGAGATCCAGGACCCTGTGGCTGCAGTGGCCCCAGACACAGCATAGGGCATCTGTCCTCTTCCACAGAGGCACAGGAAGCTGACACCAGAGGAGCACGTGGGCTGGGGAAAGGACGGAGAAGGCTGCTGGGCAGTGACTTGGCGAAGACGATGGTCCACCCCCTCAGGCCAGGCAGCCCAGGGCGGTGGCCCAGCTCTTGGCCCAACTCTACCCGGCGCAGAGCTGATGCCCATGGCAGCGCTGTACACACCCCGCCCGACTGCTCCTTGGCCACATAAGGCAGGGGCCACATAAGGCAGGGCCTAAACTTCAGCCCCAGCCAAAGCTCGGATTTGCCCAGGCAGGACCCCAAAGACTAGAGGGGCCAGCCCCCCCCACAAACATCCCCAGACCCTGTGGACACTGGAGAGCCCACAGGATAGCCAGGCTTTTGAGGATCCTAGGATAGGGCCACCAGCAGGGCTATCCCTCAAAACCTTGGCTGTCAGGTGCCACCTGAGCTAAGACAATGGTGAAGGAGATTCCCAGACATTGCTTTCCCTGGAGTGGCCCAGGGACAGGGACATGGTCAGAGACGTGCAAGACAGAGACAGAGAAGAACAGAGACATGCAGAGACTACAGCAGGATGGGAGGGCTCTGAGAACAAAACATGGCCGAGGTGCTGAGATGTGGTGGGCGCGGCGTGGGCCAGGCTCACTGAGGCCCTGGGCTCGTGGCGCCACCCGCCTCCTCCGGGATGGTCTCCAGCATCTCGCTCTGGACGGCCTGCGTGATAAGCGCCAGCTCCTGGCACAGGGTCTCATGGCGGTAGCCCACGCGGATGTCTGGGACGTTGGTGCGGCGGATGTCATTTCCCTCGGGGCCCTCCTTGGTATAGTTGGGTCCCAGCCAGTGGCTCTTTACCTGCAGAGCCAAGTAAAGGGGTAACGGGCAGAGCTGCAGCCAGCCCTGGGCGGCCCTGCCTCACCCCGGACCAACCCAGGGGCAGAGCTCAAATGCAGAGGGGAGGAGATGCGATCCCAAGGAGCAGCCAGGCAGGAAGGTATCATACCTTGTGGGAGAAGCCGCTCATGAGCACACTGTTGCGGGCCAGCTCACACATGTCACAGGAACTCAGCTTCCACACCTGGGTGGCAATGCTGTACTCCTCCATCAGCGGCTCCTGCATAGGCCAGGTTCCCTCAGGCAGGCAGGCCCCAGCCCTGCAACCCCGCTCCGCCTCCCCCTCCATTGTGGGCCTCGCCACTCGCTGCACTCCACCAGCAGGGGGCAGCACCAGCCCAGAACGACCCCAGTGTCCCAGGACACCTGCCTGCCTGCCTGCCCGACTCTGACCTTGGTAAAGTGGAACTGCAGGGGATCGTCAGTGGACAGGGAGACCATAAGGCCACGGGACAGGTACTCGGGTAGCGGGTTCCGGTGGTAGCTGAGGAAGAGGCTGTTGTTGCTGAGTGGGGACATGGCGATGCCGATCTGGGCCAGGTAATACAGGTACTGCAAGACCGGGGCCTGCACAGGTGACAGGGAAGAAAGGACTGTCAGGTGGCCTGGAGACGGGAAGGGCATGCTGGACCTGGGGTGTCCAGGCCACCGCAGTGGGCAGGGGGAAGGGAATCCGAGCTGGGCCTGACGTGCGAAGGGTGAGTTGCAGCCAGAGTCCAAGTGGAGGCCCCTGTCTGGAGGCGGGGGTGGGGAAGGTTAATTACACTGGAAAGGTGGAGTCCAATCTGGGGGCTGGGTGGGAGGAGGGTCAGTCACTGAAGGGCCGAGTGGATCAGAGGAAGGTGAACAACTGGGAGGGGAGGCTGGAGGTGCAGACCCTGACCTTGCGCAGAAGCAGCCCGTGGGAGATGTTCTCAGCCAGCATGAAAGCTGACACCAGGTGGTGGATGGGCCCAGCCTCCCCGCAGTGTGGCCTCAGCACAAAGGTGTGGAAGCCCCTCTGCCTGGGGGGCATGAAGACAGGGTCAGCTCCTGAGCCTGGGCTGGCCTGGGCTCGCTGGGGCTCCTGAACCCCACCCCAGCACACGCACGTCCTCCAGGCAGGGACTGTGTGGGCCTAGGATAAGGGGAGCTGGGGTAGATGCCTGGCTGTGAGGGCTGAGGGGTGGGGCCCTGCAGGCAGAGAAAGAACCCATCCAGTCCAAGCACAGGGCACCAGGTGGGTCAGGGCTCTGGTGGCCCCAGCCCAGGGCACCCAGAGCAAGCTTTGTTGGGTGAGAGACCACATGGTGCACAGGGATTCAGCACTGGGCGGTGCAGGCACCTGCGCAGGTGGTTCAACGTGGCCATGTTGGCGAAGGTGTAGTACAGGTAGTAGGCGTAGGGTGGGTTGTCCTCCTCCACCCAAGCCTCGGGGAGGGGGCTCTCCAGGTTGAAGACATGGTTCTCAGGCTTGGACTCATCATCCACGCTGTCAAAACCATCCACCTGGCACAGAACCTTGTGGTCAGGCCCAGAATTGCAGCTGGGCTGAGGCTGGTCATCCTCCCCATACCCAGACCTATGCTGCCTGCTCACGTGCTCCAAGAAGAGGTGTAGCTCCGGGTGGCTGGCAGGGTGCACAGTGGCCTCAAACAGAGGCAGGAAGATGTTCTCCAGCATCTCCTGGAAGTTGGCCAGCTGGCCCTTGGTGCGGTACACGTCACTGCAGGCGAGACAGCACACAGGCATGTGCGGGTCAGGGCCAGCGAGAAGAAACTCAGCAGGCCAGTAAGGGTCAGAACTTGGCTCAAAAGCACAGAAGGACACTTAAGCCACACTGGGAAAGTGGGGACACCAGGGTGGGCCGGGCTGAACAGACCACGGGTGGAACCAGGCAGCCCCTCCTTGGACTCAGAGGGCTTATCGGGGTCAGGGGAGGTTCAGCCGCCCCAGGAGGTAGGAGGCAGGCCCTTGCCCCTTGAACACGGGCCCCCATATTCCTTTCCACTCCAAGGGACACTCACAAGAGGCGGGGCACCTGCACGAGCCAGCGCACATTGGGAGAGTGCACGCGGTGCGTGACAGCCCAGCGTGCCAGCTTGTCCCACTCGTCCCTTGAGCGCCCGTAGATGGAGAGGCGCAGCTCTGCGTTCTGGTATTTGCTCTCCTCCAGGTCTGACATCACCTCCTGGACACATGGGGAGCAGATATTCTCGCGCCCACCACGTGCGCTCCGTCAGACCCCTTCAGGCCTCTTACCCCACACGATCCCCGCACAAGAGCGCCCCAGAGCCCAGGTCACGTGGCTCAGTGGCTGAGGGCTGCCTCCTTACCTTGATGATGTGAGCAAAGTACTTCCCAGAAACCCGGTTGTCAGTCTTGATGAAGATCTCTCGGAGGACAGACTCCCCAATAGGGTTGTATTTGGCATTGAACTTGTCAAAGCGATGGAAGGTGTTCCTGTCCTGGAGGAGATGGGCAGGACCAGGTCACCCTAACCCCTAGCCCCTACCCTGACCCAGCCCCTCAGCCCGTGCCGCTGGGGCGGACCGCGTGCACGTCGAGCGTGTCCACACTGAGGTCGTAGGCAGTGAGGTGCATGCTCTCGAAGACCTCCCGCAGCGTCTGCTCGCGGCCCTGCTCCACGTGCACGATCTCATCCAGGTGCCGCTTCATCGCCCGCTTGATGAAGCGCAGCAGATGCTTCTGGTTCATGCAGGAGGAGGCATGGATGTGGGTGTCCACCTGGGGTGCAACAGGGCACTGCTGGTCCACCAGAGGCCAGGAAGGGCCAGGACGGTGGGATGGGAGAGGACACTCCATTCTGGATGCTGGGTTGGGGGGCCCAAGCCCTTGAGGGGGAGGCTGGACCGAGGTGCAGGGTCAGGACACAGAGAGGGCCACAGGGTGGGGAGTGAGGGCCCACCTTGCGGATGTTGTAGAAATCTCGGTGTGGCACTTTCTTCTGGGCAGCCAGCTCCTTCATCTCATTGAGTAGCACATGCATCTGGAACTTGGAGCTCAGGTACTGCAGCCGGCGGTAGCAGAATGACTTTCTGGGCACGAGGAGAACATGGCAGGGACTCAGGCCCTCAAGGGAGCACCTGGGGAGGGCCTGGGTAGCAGAGTGGAGGGAGAGGAGGGAGGGTGTGGGAGGAAGGCTGCCAAGAAGGCAACAGACTGAAGGAAAGTCTAGCACTCAGTGACTAGGTGACTAGAAAGGGGCAAGACACCAGGTGACAGGGGCTGGGGCAGAACTGGGGCTGGAGAATCTGGGCTGGGAGGCGAGCTGAGTATCTGGGACTGGAGGGGACTCACATGGGGCCATTGATAATCAGGGCCATCAGCACATTGACGTCAGCCACAAATTCCTGCAGGTCGGGGTATGGCAGCTCCACCTCTGAGCAACTGGCATGGAGGGGAGCTTGGGTGAGGAGGGCACGCCAGACTCGGTGGCCCTTCTCCAGCCACTGCAGCCTCCCACACAGAGTTCCCCAGCACATAACACCCCTCTTACTGCTCATCGGGTTCCCTGCGGGTGTAGACGTGCACCACGCCCCGCACCATGCGCAGGCCCAAGCCCAGGTCCCCAGGCATGGTGCTTGGTTCACAGTGCTCATAGGGGTGCTGCTCCAGCGCAGGGGGGTGCACCGGGGCATCTGCAGAGGGGTGAGGAGGGTGGAGTCAGGGCCTGGGCTCTTTTAGGCAGGGGCTCCCGAAGAGGGTGAGAGATATCAAAGACCCCAGCAGGGTAGGCAGCTCCTGACTTGCCCTCCCCCCCTGAGCACCAAGAGGCTATGTGTGGGCAGAGGCAGGCAGGGCAGAGATGCCCAGGCCCCAGGCTCAGGGAGCCCAGGGCACTTGGGGTGGGGCAGGGAGCGGGGTCCCACCAGCAGACACAGGGGTGTCGGGGCCCTGCTCGTAGGTCCGTGTCTCCAGAGGCTTCTCAGCCAGCTGCTGCAGGTAGCGGCGGGTGGTGGGGCAGAAGCTCTGCAGCGACAGGGCCATGTACTTCTCCCGGATGAACAGTGCCCGAACCACGCTCTTCGCTGCGTCCAGCAGGTCTGTGAACGGCACCTGGAGACGAGGACATGTGATCACTCTCCTCAGTCTCAGACTCAGGTTCACTCTCACCTCCTTCCTGGGGCCTTACCCAAGACCCCAAGGTACTCCCACCTCCCACAGGCCCGGACCCCAGAACACTCAGACCACTCTGGTCCCAGCACATCAAGTAGACCCTCTGACCCCCAGCTGCTGGGGAAAGAGAACCACCCTCTCCGAGGCTCCCCCCCACCTCGCACTCAGCTCCCCGGCTGGGACACTGAGTAACGAATAGAAACCCAAGGTCCTGGCCCACACTCACCCCACACTTCTCCTCCCCAGAGATGGTGACCCGCTGAAACTCCCGTTCCAGCACCACATCACGCTCCCGCAGGCCCCTGTCACCCTGCCCCTCGACCTGCTCCTTGTAGAGCCTGCGTGGGAGGGGTACGGGAAGGAGGTTGGAGCCAGCGGCAGGCAGGCACCAGCTCCACACCCCAGTACCCCTCTGCCCTCCTCACTGTAGGTCCGAGTCACTGTCCGTCTTCAGGAAATCTTGCTTGGCCCTAAGCAGGATGTCCGGCTCCAGCCTGGAGGGGTGAGAGGTCAGGCAGATCACGAAGGATGGCCCTTGCTCCCAGGTCCCAGCACCGTGCTAGGTGCTGTGCACGTGTTGCCACATGTGAGCTCACAGGCAGAGCTGTAGAGCCCTGTGCTGTTCTTACCCCACTTTAGAGATGAGAAAGCAGACCCAGAAGTTAAGCAACATGTTCCAGGCCATATCAGTGGATGGGAGACAGAACCAGAACCCAGCAGCCTGTCTCTGAAGCCCACACTCTATGCTGCCCCCCGTGTGGACCGCAAAGGGAGGACAGGAGAGGAAAGGGGACAGGGAAGGGGCTCTGAAAGGGCCCAGACGGAGACAGAGGGATGCTGAGCCGACCACAGCGTGTGCCTTCGGCTGCCTGCCGGGCTCACTTGACATCCTGGCTGATCTGCCGCTCCAGCCGCTGCCGCCGCTCCTCCAGCTGCTCGATGGGGCTCTCCTCAGGGAACTCATACGGGGCACTACGGAGCTCACTCTCAGCCAGCGAGCGGCTGAACAGCTCCTGGGGGGAAGGAAGGAAGGGTCAGCGTGGCCTAGCCCTCGGCCCCTGGGCCCCCTCCTGCAGAGTCTGGGGATAGGGTGAGGGCGGCAGGACCTGGGGGTACCTGGGACAGGCTGAGGATCAGGAGGCAGCCAAGCATGAGGCCAGGGTCAGCTGGGGTGGAGGGGCATGGGGAGCAGAGGCAGGGCATGAGGACATGGGGTGAGGGGTGCAGGTGGTGCCAGGTGATACCTCGGCGATCTCCTTGCATTTGCCATCCATAGACGTGCGCAGGTCGAGCGGGAAGTGCTTGAGGCAGGGGGCGGGGCCCGGCAGGGATCGGGCAGACTGCAGCGGAGGGGCCCCCAGACCACCCCGAGCCTCTGCAGAGACAGTGATGCCAGGGTCAAAGGGTGGAGGGGCAGCCCCTGGAAGCCCTGGGCCCCCACCTGTCCCAGGCCAGCTCCCAAAAGAGCCCAGGGCCTGGTAAGTGGGCAGTCCCTCCTCAGAGGCGGAGGAGTGAGCCTGTGTGTAACTCCTAGGGACCTCACCCTCACGTCTGACACAGGGACCCCTCACCCATTCCAGGCTCACAGGTGGGGGTCCTGAGTCTGCCCCTAGAACGAGTGGGTTTATTCACTCAACAGGTAAGAACCCCAGACTAGGGCCTGCTCCCTCAGGCCATCTTCAAGTGACTACCTCCCAGAGCAGGCACTCATGTGTCCATGTGCACGCACGCACATACATGCAGACACATGCACACAGACACACACCAGACACTCTTAAAGACCAAGCAGCTACACCAAGGACCCCAGCCCACAGCTACCAGGGCAGGCGATCCGGGATCAGGCCTGTCCCGGACTAGCAGATCCTCCACTCCGAGGGGCAGGGCAGGGCACTGTACCTGACATCCCAGACCTATGGAGCACAGGGAAAGCCACAGCTGCCCCCCAGCTCTTACCAGCAGACCAGCCCTCAAGGGAAGAAAAGGAGAGTAAGTGGAGGACCTGGTTGGCAGGGGAACCCTACCTCCTCCCTAGAGGCCTGCCTCTCCCCCAGGACCCCAGGGCTGCCAAGAAGTGGCCTGGCCCTGGCCCGCCCCTCCCACTGCTGGCTGCCCCTCCAAAGGGAGCTGCCACAAACAGTCTGCGCCACTCAGAGGCCCCAGGATCTGGGCCGGAGGCCCTGGGGAAGGGAGTATCAGAAGCCAGGGGTCCTTCTCCATCAAGGACGGAGCTCCTCATCTGTACCACAGGAGGCTGGCACTGAAGACCTGGAGGCTGCTAGTCTACAGGGGCTGCCTGAGCCCCAGCCCACCCCCAGAGGACCCTCCCTGGGCTCAGCACAGCGGGAAGCTTGGCTCTCCCAGCCAGCTGTGGGGGTGCTTTCCTCTAGCACCCTCCTTTCCCCTCTCCACCCAGGCTTAGGGAAGGGTTGGAGGCTCTGCCTAGGTAGCCTGCCTTAAAAGTCTCTGTGCCGGTTTCCCCATACTCCAGGTCTGGTCCCAAGGCTGGACAAAGGGAGGAAGGTACCTGCCCCAGATATAGGACGCAGCCCCTGCTCAGCCTGGTCCCTGCCTGGACCCTACCTGCAGAGTTCAGGCAGCTCCGGCCAGCAGCCCGGTGCCCCTTGCCCGTTTGCCGAGTGAAGCTGCAGCCAGTCCCCTGGGGCCGCACGGGCTGTACCAAGTGCAGCTGTGAGCAGGGGAGACCCTGGGATGGCTGCGAGCAGGGGGCTGGGGGAGTTCAAAGGAGCCCAGAAATCAAGGGAAGGAGCATCAGAGTTGGGAGGTAAGACGAACTCCGGAACTGACAGGGCCTTAACCTTCACAGTGCCAGGGAGGGCCCAGCCGAATGCAGGGATCCCAAGGGGGAGAAACAGGGTAGGCTGATTGGGAAAGGCAGGCAGGCAGGGAGGGGCCAAGCTTCCTTAAAATCCACTGCTCTAGGGGACAGCGAGTAGGCAGGGCCTGGCGGGCCAGAGGGTAGGAGAGGAGAAAAGGGAGGGGGAGCAGCCCTCATCTCTGAGCCCAGCAGCACCGGCCAGCTCCCTCTGCCCAGGGGCCTTGCTGCTCCCCGCTGTCTTCTGGCCCTGCTTGTGGGGTCACTTGGGAGAGAAAAGGCCTTGCTGGGGGAGAGGAACTGGCTGTCACCTGGGGAAGGGGCCCAGTCTGAGTAGGGGCCAGTTACTGAGGCTTCCTGGCTGCCCAGCTGCTCAGACCTCCAACCCTGTTCCAGGCCTATATTCAGGGACAGGACAAACTGTCCAGGAGGAGAGGCTCTAGAATTGGGAGGGAAAAGAGAATCTAGAAAAGAGGGAAAAGAGGATCTAGAATTTGGAGGACTTGAGTCTGACTCTTCCCACTTACAGGCAAGTCCCTTCCTACCTCTGAGAGGCTTTGAGTCTACAAACGGGGTGATAAAGGGTCCGCACCCTGGCTAGCCACAGCTGCCCCAACACTCACAGAGATAAGTGCTCTACAAGTGTTCTGTGAAACACCAGCCTCTGTGCAAACGTGAGAGTCTACAATTATGGACTCCTGGGACCCTCAAGACACTTCTCACATGGAGCCTCACTCCTGCAGGAGGGTGGGAGGTTCTTGGCCCGTGCAGAGCCGAGGCAACTAAGCAGTGAAGGGCAGTGAAGAGAACTTGGCAGGGGCGGAGATGAGGATGATGCTATCACTTCCTTGGAAAAGGAAAGAGTAGGAAGAGGAAAAAAAGGGATACCTGCCTCTCCTCCAGTAGTAAGGTCTTTTCTTGCCCAAGGACCCTGATCCTACACACCTCCTCTCCACATATGGCCCCAGACCACAGACCTCCATGGCTGCTTTGTATGGGGTCAGCAGCAGCTGAGTCAAAGGCCCAAATTGCAACCACCAGCCCCCCAACCCACAGCAAGGTGGCCTGGGGCCTCCATCCACAGCAATGCTGGGGTGAGCAGGACAGGTTACAGCAGCTAGCCTGCCAGGCCACTGCACAAGGCTGCAGAAGGAAGGCTCAGTGGAGGTGACAAACAGGCAATAACCCCCACGCTCTCTGAGGCCAGACCTAGAAGACTCAGCTGCCTGCTGGTCCCTTCTCCCTAGGCCTGTGCTGGAGGTTCCCAGCTACAGCACCAACACGCACATAGGGGAGTCAACCAAAAGCTAACTCCACTAACTCCATACCCACCGACCTCAAGGTTCTGACCACCCCATGTCCCCTCTTGGCCAAGAGCCTCCTCACTCACTGCCAGGACTGCCTCTGTAGGCACGGCGTGCCCAAGGCCGTGACCCACGAGCATCAGATGCTCACACCATCTGACCACCCAAAGGTCTCTGGTTCAGCAATAGGGCAACTGGTGCAGATCTAGCCGCAAGGGCCACGCTTTCTGGGCACAGAGAACACTCTCAGGACAGCACAGGCATCTTCAGACCTTGCACCAGGCATCTTCAATGGCATAAGAAAATACAGGAGGTGGATGATCAGACTATTGTTATCCACAGCTGTGGGAGGGATGGGGAACTGTGTTGGCATAACTTGGTCACCAAAGTGGAGGGGGTCTTTCCTTAGCCACAGGGCAGCAGACGGCAGGCAGACATCCCTCTGCAAGCACAGACCCAGGCAGTCGAGGCAGCGGAGCCAGCCGAGCCCTCACTGAGACAGGCACTGCCGCAATGGGCTGCCTGCTCCAAATGGTGCAGCGATGCCTACTAGAGTGGGAGCCGAACCAAAGGGTGCAGGAGCACACGCAGTGCAGGCAGCAGCCCCAGCCCGATCCTCCACACAGTTAGCAAAGAGCAAACGACAGACACAGTCAAGCCCCCAGCTCTGGGATGCCAGCCAGCAATGGGTGTGCTCAGATGTCAGACCACAAGGGAGGGGGGATCTAGTTCTGGGATCCTAGAAAGAGAAACTAGCCACAAGAGAACAGCCTGAGTCTGTCTGATAAAGGCACAGGCGCCAGTCTGAGTGGCCAGTCCACAAAGCAGCCAGTCCCACACACCCCCGCTCCATTCACTCACACTCTATAGCAGTCTTAGCACATGCACACGCTGACACGTGTGCATAGGCACCTCTCGCTGCACCCACACCCACACCCACTCCTTGTTACAGAGGACAGCATCCCCGACATAGAAACCTCAGTCACCCCCCACCTCCCTTCCCCCAACCCCACCTCCAAGCCCCAGCCCCGGGCTCTGAGGTCGAGGAGCATCACCTCAGATAGGATGCTGAAGAAGAGGGCCCCCCTCTCTGGGGGACCAGTGGCCTGGGCGAGGATGGTGGGACAGAGCCTGTGCCTGAGGCCAGCAAGCACACACTCACCTGGAATTGCAATGGAGGGCTGTAGGCTGGCCCGCTTCTTAAAGGGATATTTGGTCTTGGCCTTGCCGGGGCCAGATGGATAGGATGCCATGGCTGGGGCCACAGCAGTGCCAGCGGGGGAGTCTGAGCGGCACTGGCTGGGGCCTGGCTCTGCCACATCCAACCCCTTCCTCCGCCCCGCCCCCAGCGGGAGTGACTGATGCAGGAAGCAGCGCCCTGCAGGCGGAAGAGGCCCTGGCGACGATTTCTCAGGTTGTCTAGGCAACCCCGGGAGTGGGGCCTCATCCCTGCCCCTTATCCCTCCCCTCCCTCTTCAGTCCCTGGAGTGACGTGACTGATGGTGGCTGGGTCTGGGGAGGGGGCTGAGGGAGAGAAAACAAGATGAGGAAGGGCCAGCCCCTAGCCCTCCACTAACCCTCTCAGGAGCCCTCACCCCTTGCCAGCCCTCCAGGGCAAAGGAGCCAAAGGAGCCAAAGTCCAGGCTAGCTGGTCCAGCTAGCATGGGAGGAAAAAAATAACAGTAAACAGGAATCCAGCAGAGAACGCCTCTAAGCTCAGAACACATTCCTCTCAGAGTAGGGATACTCTGGGGCAAAGCCCCCTTTTCTTCCTTTCTATCTGACCCCAGGGGTGGTCTAGCTCTGGTGGGAGGGGTAGAACTGAGAATCTCAGCCCAGGAGGGATAGAGGCCTGTCTTGGGAAAATTCCACTGTCCAGCAGAAGCTACCTACTAGGAAAGCAGGGAGGCCAGGAGACAGGGGCTTGGCTGGGGGTCTGGGAGAGACATCCTAGACTTTTCCCTCTGTCTTTGCACACTCAGGCTCTGCTTCCCCAGGCCCTTCCAGGAGGAGCTGGCCGCCTTCCCTAGGACCTGCAGGCTGTGCTGGGACTCCCCCACCCTCTTGTCATCCTGGCCACAGCACTTCTCTGTCCCAGAGACCACGCGAGCACCCACTCACCTGAGGCCATGATGCCCGAGTCTCAAGGGCCACCGAGGACGCCGCCCGGGAGGGTCTGCAGTGCCGGGAAGCCGGGTCCTGAGGGGGCGGAGCGGCGCTGGGGCACAGACCCCCGCCAAGCCGCTTCCAGGGCCCCTGCCCTGGCACCAAGATGGGGGAGGTGCAGCAATCTTTCGAGATTGCCAGCTGGCTGGAGACGGACCTCCTCGGACCTCGGCGGTCAGACTGGCCTCAGGAGACCCCGGCGTCCCGACCTCGGGCCCCGCACTCTAGAGGCGGCCAAGCCACGTGCTCCCCAGGGAGCAGGATCCGGAACTCGTCTGGGCTTCTCTCGACACTGCCTGGGTATTCAGGGTCGGAGTCCCGCGGCTGGACTGTGGGGGAGCCACGCAACAGGTGCGACCCTACCAAACTCTCGCCGACGCCACGCCAGTCGGCAGCCCCAGGCCCAGCCAGTCCGTGGCCCCGCCCCCGCTCGGGCCCGCCCCCGCCGCGCCGGCCCCGCCCCGCCATCTTTTCTCTTCCCGGGCGCCACGTGGGCACCCTGCACACCACGGTCTGCCCGGCTTGACCCTGGGTCTTGGGCAAGGTTTGTGCGTCAGCTTCCTCATCAGTAAGATGGGATGGGGTAATGACACTACCTCGCTCAAAAGAGTTATTGTGAAGATTGTAAAGTCCCTTTGCACAGTCCCTGGCACGAAGTCAGGGCCCAATAAAAGGTGGCTGTTTTTGTCCCAGAATTTGTTTTAGGCAGAAGCCTGCCCCTACATATTCACCTAGGTCATCTGTTTTATTCTGGCTGCCCTAGGTGGGAAGGGTGTGCTTTGCAGTTGTGGCTCCCCTTCCCACATTAATTTCTGTATTTGGTGGTTAAGAGCTTAAATTCTGTAGCCAGAATGTCTAGGTTCAAATCCAGACTCCTCCACATAATTCCTGATATTGGGCAAATTACTTCTCTGTGTTCCTGTTTCCTCTGTAAAATGAGTGTAAGAGTACCTGCTTTATATGGTGGTGTTAAAATAAACGAGCTAATGTAAGTTAAGTACTTAGAACTGTGCCTGGCCTGTAGTTACTACTCAATGTTCCTGTATTATCATTGCTTTGGCCTTGACCTTTGCTGCTGTTGACATTCACAGGTTGATTCACCTTGCAGCCTGTAAAGAAATGGAGTTGAGCTGTTTTGGGAACTGCAGACACCCTAGCCTACAAGCATCCCCACTCCCAAGGGGTAGAGAATCCAACCTAAAGGGAACTTGAGGAGGGAAGTCCCTGAGACTTCAATTAATATAATTAAGTGCATAAGCAGGAATTAATCTCTTCCCAATTCTCCTGGCTGTGGGAGCCCTTTGGCCCTCACACCCAGTTATTCTAATGCTGTTTGTCCAGCTCCTCCCAGTTCTCACAACCCCCACAGCAGAGTTCCTTCCCAAACTCTGCCTCCCTCTTCTCTTCCCAGGCTGGACCCTAAACCCTAATCTCTACCTGCATGTGGTATCATCTCCATTGATCCCCTGTCTACTGCTCCTCACCCCAAACAAACTTAAAAACCCTTGGCCTCCGTAAACATTGTGGTGGAGCAGGGGGAAGTTCACCTCACAAAGAATCTAATAAAACTAAAAAGAGAACAAGGAGATACCATGTTTACCTATCAAAATAGCAAAAACTAAGAAAAATATCCTAATGCAGGCAAGGGTGTAGTTAGTAAGACATGACACAACACACACACACACACACACAGTCTTGGTGACCATAAACATCGATATAATATTTTTGAAAGCCATTTGGTAATATATAGTAAGAGTTTCAAAAGGGTTCTCATTATTTAACACAGTAATCAACTTTCAGGAAATTGTTCTTTTAAGGAAAGCTGCCAGAAAAATAGGTGTGCACAAAGTTGTTCATCACTGCAATGTTTATCCATAGAAAGGTTAGAAACTTAAAGGTCCAACAATGGAGACTGTTTAAATTATGTCATATGCATATAATAAAATACAGCCATTAAAAATTGTTCTCGGAGAAGTTTTTAATGATGTGGAAATATTTACAGTATAAAATTAAGTGAAAGGCTGGATGTAAAAAACTGTACATACAGTATGGTCCTAATTATGTGATATATATAAATAGAAAAGAAACACACCCAAAAGTTTACAAATGATTATCTGTAAGTGGTGGAATTACAGATTATATTTATTCTTCTTTATCTGCATTTAAAAAATCATCTACAGTACATATCCATTATTTTTTTAATCAAGGGGATAGAAATCAACAAAAGCCTATTAAAATCTGTAATTGCCTCTACAGTCCCCCAACCTCAGGCTCTCCGAGTCTTAAACCCAGACTCAAACATAAACTATTCTTAATGTGGCTCTCTAAATTGGTCTTGGGGCCCTTAAGAATTTTGAGCCTGCTGGGCTTTCAATAATGAATAAAAATAAATCTCAAAATTAAAATCAAGCACCATATAATGAGGTAGAATGTCTATATTCTGATAAGATACAAATTTTGACATAGTTTTAAGGGACAGTGTTTTACATTGGGTTAGGCTTCTTAATTCAGACCTACCTACCTAACCAGCTAATAGGTGGCAATCCCTGCCCCCCACCCAACCCAGGCAAACCAGTTCATTAGTCCCTTTGTGCTCCTCCCTATTTCCATCTGCAACTCACCCTTCACTCTAAAACCCACCTCTATTTCCAGGCTATCTGATGTGTTGTCCCTGCTAGGAAGTCTGACCTAATTAGAGCTAAGCATCAATCTCCCCACCTACTCAACACCAGCAAGAATCTCAGGGATGTTTCATTGTCTGCGTAGAACAGAGCTTGAGAAATGAAGTGAGTCATCCTATGGCCTAGGATTTTCTCACATTGAGGCCTTAATGTTGCCTTTGAGCTTCTGGGATCTTCCCTAGCTCTGAATACAACTTCCTTCTCTCCTGGCCTCTTCTCCAGATGACTCCTTAATTGGCCCTCCTGGAACCTCAGGTCTGCAACAATAGCGCACTCCTATTTCTCTGAAGAACTGCTTCTCTTTGCTTCTGGCCTTTAGCTCACTTGTGATGTCAGCCTCCCTAGGCCAGAATACTTTGCACAGATATTAAAACTTGGGAGAGAACACCTGTACCTCCAAAAAGATACATGGCCAGGACAGTTTCCCAAGCCAATAACTTATGCCTAAACCCCTCTAAAAACAAGCTGTTCAGCTCTTGTTTCTCAGCTTCTCCTAGCAGCTAGCACCCCTCCCCACTCCTGTCCGTCACATAGCATTGCGTTTCTAGCACTATGCAGCTGTATCCATCCGTACTTGTTTATAAGTCCCCAGTGGATTTTAGCCAAACCCCTTACCTTGTCAATCAAGGCCCTTCACTGGCTGGCCCCAATTTCCCTTTCCCATCCTCATCTCCCAGCCCTCCCTTCCATTTCCTTTTACCTGAGCCAGTCACATTCAACTTCCCCGTCTTCTCTGAGCACACTTTGTACCTTATGCCCCTATGCCTTTTTTCATGCCCTTTCCTCTCCCCAAAATGCTTATCCCTCATTCTACTGTTGTTCTGCTTCTCTGTGGAAAGTCTGTTCATTTTACAATCACTCCTTCCTTCCTTCTACCATAGAACTTATCAGTCTGACAGATGAGTACTTTCTTGCCCTTCTTACCAGGGTAGAGGCTAGGTTTTAAACAGCTCTGAATTCCCCAGCACTGGTGCAATGTCCCTTTAAACTAAACATTTTTCTGTGAATTTCCCCTGCCTCCCCCTAGGGACTGGAAGATCCTGAAGGCAGTTCCTTATCCTTCCAGGTCCCCCCACTCCATCTGGGACAAGGCTTACCAATGGATGTGAGACAGATCCTGAGATCTCTCCTTAACTCAGGAAACATGCCCAAATTTGTTGGGAAACAATGAATCCTTTTTCACTCAAAATGATATGGTCATTAGGAGGATCACTCTTTTGTGCTTCAGTTCTAAAATGGGAATAGGCGGCCGGGCGCAGTGGCTCACGCCTATAATCCTAGCAGTCTGGGAGGCTGAGGCGGGCGTATTGCTCGAGGTCAGGAGTTCGAAACCAGCCTGAGCAAGAGCGAGACCCCGTCTCTACTATAAATAGAAAGAAATTAATTGGCCAACTAATATATATAGAAAAAATTAGCCGGGCATGGTGGCGCATGCCTTAAGTCCCAGCTATTTGGGAGGCTGAGGCAGCAGGATTGCTTGAGCCCAGGAGTTTGAGGTTGCTGTGAGCTAGGCTGATGCCACAGCACTAACTCTAGCCTAGGCAACAAAGCGAGACTCTGTCTCAAAAGATAAATAAATAAATAAATGAATAAATAAAATGGGAATAGTACTGCATGCCTTACCTACTCCACCAGGACTCTGTCTCTAAATGTGATAATACAGTAGAACAGCCGCAGGAAAGGCACAGGACTGATGACGGAGCATGAGGTCATTGGTTTTAGGAATGGTGCATGCACAGTAGTAAATCTGTGCTCTCAGAGGCCAGGCAAGGGCCAGAAGCTCCCTTACTCAGTGTAGCAGTGAGAATGGGGAACTTCTACTCAGCAAGATAGGGAACAAAGCAGAAGAAGCACAGAAGTTTGCAGAGGCAGTAGCAGAAAAAGGAACAAGCTCCCATTTTCTTCATGTGTGAAAGAAGTTAGTGGTTCTTTTAACAAAACAAGTGCTAGTGTTATTGAGTTCATGCATTTGCCCAAGCATTCTTTCTCTCACTGGCTATTTATGTAGGGGTAGTGGAGAGAAGGATCACTGGTTTGTCTGTTTACTAACCTATATGACCTTGAATAAGTTACTTAACCCTCAAGTCTTAGTTATCTGGTCTGTAAATTGGGAAAAACAGCACTTATCTTGAAGTTATTGTGAGAATTCACTGGTATGAGCCATATAAATTGTCTAGCAATTATTAGTTATAATACAATATAATTTATACACACCTCTGGCTCTATGGAAAACAGTATGGAGATTTCTCAAAGAACTAAAAGTAGATCTGCCATTCAACATAGTAACCCCACTAGTAGGTATCTACCCAAAGGAAAGGAAGTCACTTTATAAAAAAGACACCTACACCCATGTTTATTGCAGCATCAGTCACAATTGCAAATATATAGAAAGAACCTAAGTGCCCAACAATTGATGAGTGGATAAAGAAAATAGGGTGTGTGTGCGTGTGTGTGTGTGTGTGTGTGTATGTATGTCATGGAATACTACTCAGCCGTTAAAAAGTGTGAAATAATGTCTTTTGCAGCAACCTGGATGGAATTGGAGACCATCATTCTAAGTAAAGTAACACAAGAACAAAAAACCAAATACTGCATGTTCTCATTTATAAGTGGGAGCTAAGCAATGGGTATGCATGGTCATACAGAGTGACTTAATGGACACTGGGGACTCAGAGGGGGAAGCGTGGGAAGGGAAGGAAATACAGGATGCAAAATTACCTATTGAGTGCAATGTACACTATTCAGGTGATGGGCAAATTAAAAGCCTAGGCTGCTTCACTATGCAGTTTATCCATGTAACAAAAAACCAGTTGTATCCCCTAAGCCCACTTAAATAAAAAATGGGAAAAAGTACAGATTCTAGGGTAGGCATGGTGGCTATCTATGCCTGTAACCCTAGCCCTTTGGGAGGCTGAGGCAAGAGGATTACTTGAGGCCAGGAGTGCAAGACCAGCCTGGGCAATATAGGAAGACCTTGTCACTACAAAATACTTTAAAGATTAGCTGTGCACTGCCACATGCCTACAGTTCTAGCTGTTTGGGAGGCTAAGGCAGGAGGATTACTTGAGCTCAAGAGTTTAAGGCTGCAGTGAGCTATGATCGCACCACTGCACTCCAGCCTGGGTGACAGAGTGAGACCTTGCCTCTGGAAAAAAAAAAATCCACACAGATTCTGAATCAGAAGGTCTGGGTTGGCCGGGCATGGTGGCTCACGCCTGTAATCCTAGCATTCTGGGAGGCCAAGGCGGGAGGATCGCTCAAGGTCAGGAGTTCGAGACCAGCCTGAGCAAGCAAGAGTGAGACTCCCTGTCTCTACTAAAAATAGAAATTAATTGGCCAATTAATATAAAGAGAAAAAATTATCCAGGCATGGTGCTGCATGCCTGTAGTCCCAGCTACCCAGGAGGCTGAGGCAGTAAGATTGCTTGAGCCCAGGAGTTTGAGGTTGCTGTGAGCTAGGCTGACACCACAGCACTCTAGCCCGGACAACAGAGTGAGACTCTCTCTCTCTTAAAGGAAAAAAAAAAAAAAAGAAGGTCTGGGTTAAGGCCTGAGATTCTATATTTCTAACAAGTTTCCAAGTAATCTGATACTGCTGGTCCTTGGACCACATTTTGGGTAGCAAAATTCTAAAGTATCTCCACCTGAGGAGGCTCCACCAGCAAGACTGAATAATAAACTGAAATAACTGGCATAGAGAAATATGACCTGTGGAGAATCTTCAATGTCTGTTAGGCAATTGCTAGACTGCACCCTCATTTCTCCCCAGGAAAGGCAGCTTGGACGAGGACCAGAGGAAGAGCTCCCCCAACCTTTGAGAAGCCAGAATCTAGAGTCTCATTTCCAAAGAAGTAGTGTTTGTTGTGTGCAACAGCACAAGCCCCACACTAAATACCAACAAAGTTCAGTTACCAAGGGAAGCTGGACCTCAGCTGGCTTTGGTCAAAGTGGGCAGCTTTGGTCCAGCTGCCAAAGCTGCCCCATTTGGTCAAAGCTGCCCCATTCTCTCTACTATATACCCTTTTTTCTACATGCATCCATTCACCAAATCTTTACTGATGATCCACTAATAAACTACAAGTTCTGAGGGGTTCAAAGATGAATCAGATTTGGTACCTTGAGCTGGGGTGGGGGGGGGAATTCACAGTGGGAAACATATTGTAAAACAAAGTACAATGTGAAGTGGTAAGTGCTGATATTAATAAAAGACATATGTACAAAGAGATGAGCCAACGCAAAGGAACAATACTAACAGCTTCCTGGAGTAACAGCCACTGGGGGAGCTGCATGAAAGATTGCTAATCTTTCCAAGTAAGGGCACCACTGTAAACAAAGTCCTTGCCAGGCCCAGCCAGTGATAAACAAGTATGATAAACAAATATGCATTGATGCCTTGAAGCCTTTGATACCAAGACCCTATATTCTGGAAGCTCAACATGGGGAATGCTTCCTATGTTTGTGCCCCTAGTCTCTAGCTTTATATTGCAAGTAAATCTAAGGAAGCAAGAGACTTTTAGAGGATGAGACCCTCAAAAGGATGGAGGTGGCCATTATCTTATTCCAAAGAGCTTCAGTACCTGCATCCTATCCCCTGTGTCAGAACTCAACTGATCATTTCCCTAGTTACAGAACATTTGAGTCTTTACCCTTTGTCATTTTGACAAAGCTCTTAATTGGCTTGACCCATCACACTGCTAGATATAAAGGCTACAATCCCTAGACTAAGAAGTAGGTCTGCAGTTGGGGTAGGGAGTCTCAGCCAGTGTAGGAAGGGTAGAAGAACCAACAGCCTGCTCTCACCCGGTTCCACATAGACCAGCTTTTAGGGAACTAAAGAACTGATACTCCATCCCAATTTATTTTTTCCTTTTCTTCCATCTCATATGTAGGAAAACATACAAGAGAAGCTTAAGAGTCTGAGGAGGCAGCTGAGGAAGAGACAGCAGAGATGGGCAGTGGAATCAGTGCTGAGGACAAAGAACTGGCCAAGAGGTCCAAGGAGCTAGAAAAGAAGCTGCAGGAGGATGCAGACAGAGAAGCCAAGACGGTCAAGCTGCTGCTGCTGGGTGAGTGAGATGGGAAGATGAGCCAGGAAAGGAGAAGGCAACTCTCCTTCCTGCTTTCCTGAGGGTCAGTGGGTTCTAGCCCACCCCATGAGAAGGAGGGGTGGTAGGTCATTTTTCCTCTCCCCTATCTAGTCTCTGGCTAGGGGATTGGGAGCTCTAGGGCTGAGTTAATATGGGGCCTGCACAGCCACCCCAAGGGGACCCAGAGTGCCAGAGCTACTCTAGGATATTTCCACTCCTCCTCGAACTAGGAATAGTGCAACGGCCAGGATGAACCCACCCATCTCCAAATCTAACCAAATGTAACACTTCCTTTCCTCTTGGCAAATACTGAGAACCCTGGACTTGCTAACATGTACCCAATCTATAGAGAACTGAGCCAAGGAATCTGAAAAGAACAAGACCTTCCCTTACCAATCCACTCAGAAGTCCCACCATACATTCAGTGCCACACAGTCCCAGGGATAGGCCCACTGGTTCTTGCCAAGTATACTGGTTCCTTCTTGCTTTCAGTAAAAATCATGTAAGTAGGGAGCCCTGAGGCAGAATGGAGATTTTATCTATAGCAGTCCCTTCCTGGCTTTCTATTCAGTACCTGCCTCTAAAGCCCCTGCCAGATGGGAGGTTCATCAATTTGATGAACTCCTAAGCAGATCACCGGTCTGGGCTGAGAAAAAAAAAAAATCACCCCAATGAGTCAGTAAGTCAGTCAGGGATATTGATCATGGCTATAAATAGAACCAAGTCAAGAAAATTTGGGGCACCTGGCTTAGGAAAAAACCAATGGTACTACAGAAGTAGGCTAGCTGGAGCAAGTGGGGTCTATGTAGCAAAGACTGGCTGCCTGGCCTGGGTTTCCAAGCCCATGAGGGGCCTGGGAGGTGATGCACCAGGCTAAGGCACCTCTTTCCCCCCAGCTGATCCATGGCACAGCCCTAAGGACACACTAAAGGGACATATCTCTGTAAGCTGGACCCAGACTCTAAGGAGCCCAGGAGGCTACACAGGGGGAAAGAGATGGCAGGGCCACAGAGAGATCTTTTAAGCCTAAGCAGATTTCTTCTAGGTTCAGGATAAGCAGCTTAGAGGGAACAAGCACAGGCTAAGTAGGAGGAGGCTGAGGCATTAGGGCAGTATAGACTGATGGGGGAGAGCAGAGTGTAAACGAGGACATTAGGACATTTTACTCAATAAAGGGAACCAGCAAAATGAAGAAAAAATAGTATTTCAGTGAAATGATCCAACGCTCTCCAGTCCAACCTTGAGATCACTCTCCTGAGTCAAAAATAGGCAGAGAGGAGAAATGAGGTAAAGGAATTCCCCTGAATCTATTGGTGGCTCTCAGCAGGGAGATTTTGACCCCCAGCGGCCATTTGTAAATGTCTGGAGATATTTTTGGTTGTCATATTGAGGAGAATGTTGTATTATTGACCTCTAGTGGATAGAGGCCAGGAATCCTGCTAAACATCCTATGATGAACTGGACAGCTCAAAATGTAAATAGTGCTGAAGAAACTTGGGCCAGGTCGAATGGCCTGAGCTCAAGGCTGCCAGACATTGAGGGTAGCAATTATCCCTATGTGTTCTCCCTTCACAAGACTCCCAAGCAAGCAGTGGGTCTGACTTCTCAGAGGCCATCTCCTGGAAGCTTGGGAAAAATTGGAAGCATAAGTGTTTCTCCTTTCAGGTGCTGGGGAGTCAGGAAAGAGCACCATCGTCAAACAGATGAAGTGAGTAGGAACAAAGAAAGCCCCAAAGGACTCAGGTAGGGTGAAGCCAGTGGAGGTTCTGAGTGAAAGGCTCTTTAGCCTCAAGGAACTCAGCTATAAGGGTATAAAGGAATTAATTCTAATGCCGGTCATCTGTACACCTCCCACAGAAGGATGGGGTCCTTGCGACCCTTTAAATATTCCAGATTCCGAATCCTTTAGGTCTAGTTACTCAGGTCCAGCTAAAGACTGGGTGTTTGTCCCTTGCAGGATCATTCACCAGGACGGCTATTCTCCAGAAGAATGCCTGGAGTTCAAGTCTATCATCTACGGGAACGTGCTGCAGTCCATCCTGGCTATCATCCGGGCCATGTCCACACTGGGAATTGACTACGCTGAACCAAGCTGTGCGGTACGTGATCGTTATGTGGTTAAGGGTGGAAGCAGGAAAGGCTAATGAGAAGAAACAGACCAGATGCCAACAAACTATGAGGGAAGATGGGTAAGAAAAATAGTTTTGTGTAACTAAAATCCTACTTGCTGAGCTTCAACTCTTCTCATTCAGTTCTGGAGAAGTAAGCAACTCTTACCTTTATAATAAATATTCTTAGCCTCATCTGCCTTTTTGCCTTATTTTACCATTTAAATTGCTCCCCTTAGGCTCCTGACCATGGAACTTTCATAAGCTAAATCCCTGGTTCTAGTATTGGCCTTTTTCTAGTTTTAAATCATTGAAAAAACAAAAGTGAAGGTCAATCTGGCCTTTAAACTTCCAGTTTCCCTGCAGCAAAGGACCCATGTTTTATGGCAGTACCCTTTCAGACTAAGGATAGAAGCCGGAAACCCCAGATAGGAAGCCCCTGGGACCTCTGCTATCCCCTAGGAACTCCAGGGCTGGATATACATCTGGGGAGCACACTCAAAAATTAATCACTGTGTTTTCTTAGAATCTTCACTGGAGACCGCCTCTATCTCAGGCTTTGGTAGCAATGTAAATTGCTTTCCATTCAACAGTATTCCCAGAAGCCTCCTGGAAAGCTATTACTCCTGTGTAGTTCTCAGCCAGGTTTCTGCATTACAGGATGATGGACGACAGCTCAACAACCTAGCTGACTCCATTGAGGAGGGAACCATGCCTCCCGAGCTGGTGGAGGTCATCAGGAAGTTGTGGAAGGATGGTGGGGTGCAAGCCTGCTTCGAGAGGGCCGCAGAGTACCAGCTCAATGACTCGGCATCTTAGTAAGACTCTGACTGGGGAGGGGGTATGAGGATGCTTAAGCAGTCTTTCAGGCAAAATCTCACCCAGCCTAAAATTTCTGGCACTGAAAGCTGTAGACCCATAGGCTGAATTCAGCCTGTTATTCTGTTTTGTTAAGATTGAATTAAGCAGTGTTTTACTGTGTTTGAGTTTAAGGCCACAGGGATATCTGCCATAGTTGCCACCACTCTGTATTGCTTCACACCAACTCACTGCAGCCTACAAAGCTGAGGACACAAATGTTTAACAGAGGTGGTCTGTCTAGCGCCCTCAACGTGTTCTTTTGAACTGTACACTTGCCTTTCCTTTCAGAACCGTAACGCAGCCCTACAGTTCTGCCACACACACTCCCAGGAGGCATGTGATTTATGATGGCTCTTTCAGGGCAGAATTTTCTAGCTGGTAACTCGGGTTCTACTTAGGCCACTAAGCAGAAATGAAAGTTTCCTACACCTAGAGCATCTTATGTCAGGATGCCAGGGCAGGGGACACAGAAATTGCCAGGGCAAACCAAAGGAAGGTGGTTAGGGATTAGAGAGAACCAACTTAACAAAATTGGTTCCGAAAAAATTAGCAATAGTTTATCAATCCTTTCTCAGACAGTATGGGATCACAGACAAGCATGGGCTTCAAAGTCAAAGAGATCTGAGTTTAACTCCCATCGGTCACATATCTTGAAATAAATATTCTTACCATTTACCACCCTGGGAACACTCACTGCCAGGTGCATTATGAACCCTGTCTCAAGACCCTTTACCCACCTATACAGTTAGACTTAAAGGTAGACAGTACTTTTTATTAGCCCTTTTTTATAGATGAATAACTGAGATTCAGATCAGTCTTTTTTGGTTTTTTTGAGTCAGAGTCTCTGTTGCCTGGGCTAGAGTGCTGTGTCGTCAGCCTAGCTCACAGCAACCTCAAACTAAGTGAGCTCAAGCAATCCTACTGCCTCAGCCTCCCGAGTAGCTGGGACTACAGGCATGTGCCACCATGCCCGGCTAATTTTTTCTATATATTTTTAGTTGGCCGATTAATTTCTTTCTATTTTTAGTAGAGATGGTTTCACTCTTGCTCAGGCTAGTTTTGAACTCCTGACCTTGAGCAATCTGCCCGCCTCGGCCTCCTAGAGTGCTAGGATTACAGGCCTGAGCCACCTCGCCCAGCATAGAGAAGTTAATTAACTTGCCCAAGGTTGTATAGATAAATGCAGAAGCTAGATTTGAATTCAGGTCTCCTTGACTACAAAGCTGAGTATTTTTCACAATATACCACAGTGGCTCTTGACCCTGGGCAAGTTATTTAACTCTCCTGGATTTTTCTTTAAACTGTAAAACGGAGATATGAAATGTGAAGGCTTAGGAGCTTCCATGAGAATTTAAATGTGCAAATACCTGGCATACAGTAGGCACTTGTGTTAGTTGTCCTCCCTCCTTTCCTCAGCCATCTCACTTCATACCTGCCTTCCTCCTGCCCACCCCCTTCCCTGTTTATTTATTTTACTTTTTTCTGGAGACAAGAGTCTTGATGTTGCCCAGGCTAGAGTGCTGTGACATCAGCCTAGCTCACAGCAACCTCAAATTTCTGAGCTTAAGCAATCTTTCTGCCTCAGCCTCCCAAGTAGCCGGAACTACAGCATGCACCACCATGCCTGGCTAATTTTTTCTATATATTTTCAGTAGTCCAGCTGATTTTTTTCTATTTTTAGTAGAGACAGGGGTCTTGCTCTTGTTTAGGCTGGTCTTGAACTCCCGATCTTGAGTGATCCTCCCGCCTCGGCCTCCCAGAGTGCTAGGATTACTGGCATGAGCCACCACACCCAGCCCCCCCGTTTATTTTATAGTAACTTTCAAACACATACAGAAGTGGAATAATATAATAAATCATCTACCTTCAACAGTTATCAACTCATGGCTACTCTAATTTCATTTTACCCCCATCCTCTACTGGATTATTTTGAAACAAATCTCAGATATAATTTCATCCTAAAAATGTCATTACATATCTCTAAAATAGAGACTCTTTTAAAAAAAATAAATCACAATGTCATCATCACACCTAAATATTTAATTAATTCCTTAATATAAAATATTACCAAATTAAGTGTTCAAATTTCCAATTATCTTAAATGTTTTTCCAATTTGATTCAGGATATAAACGTTGGTTCATGTCTCTAAAGGCTCTTTCAATCTTGCCTCTTGATGAAACTTTTAGCACCTTTAAATCACTAGATCTCATTCAAGGGTCTAAAAAGCCTTGCAGTCAGGCAAAACCCAAGAAAAACTTATCTGACTTGATTTAAATAAGATGGAACCTCGTCCTCAAATTGGCTTGTTCCTCGGCCCATTCCCTACTTCCTTTATTAAGGACATGAGGATTTGAAGGAAAGAATCCTAGGTTTAACAATATGGATTCTAGTCCTAGTTCTATCACCAAAGTAGCTGTGTGACTTTGGGTAAGATCTTTTACCTTGGCTGCGGAAAATTTGTCATCATTACCAGTCACTTTTCTATAGCTACCTAAACCAGCTGGAACGAATTACAGACCCTGACTACCTCCCTAATGAGCAAGATGTGCTACGATCCAGAGTCAAAACCACAGGCATCATCGAGACCAAGTTTTCCGTCAAAGACTTGAATTTCAGGTGAGCACATGGTTCCCTGGGGCACCTCAGACACACATGTGGTATCCCCCAAACAGGCATGGGCACGCTTCTTGGTCTTTGCTGCAGCCTAACCTAAATTACTGTCCTACTTCTCCCCAACCGTTTGGGGTGAACACCAAAGGTATGTGGGTCATATGTTAGGCATACCTATGAGAACAGCTGCTTCTTCCCTCAGGATGTTTGATGTGGGAGGCCAAAGATCAGAGAGAAAGAAGTGGATCCACTGCTTTGAAGGAGTCACCTGCATCATTTTCTGCGCAGCCCTCAGTGCCTATGATATGGTGCTTGTCGAAGATGACGAAGTGGTGAGTGGCCTTTGCACCAAGTAGTTAGCTTTGGTAGAACGAGTTCTCCCCACAACCATTTCTCTAAGCCTTGTGTCACTCCAATGCCCTAACTTGGGTAATTTCAGCTAACAATGATAGTCTAGTAGTCCTCTAGTAGACCAATGTCTCATGCAAATAACTCTACAAAAACCTCTTCTTTTGTAGGTTCTAGGTAAGCAACTTAGAGCTCCAGATTTACTGACAGTAAGCTTGGTCTCAGGTTAGACATCCAAATATCATCTGGACATCACAAAGCTCATAAGACGAATTGAGTATTAAAGAGATAAGGGATCACAGCCTAGGCAATGCAAAGGAGTTACACTCAGTACTCTCCCAAGTTGTCCAAGGAAGGAGATAAAGACCACAGAGCAAACAACATATGATGTGAATCCTCATGCCACATGATAGAAGGCTCACTTTAGAAGCCTAAAAATGTAGAGTGTCAACAGGAGGAAGGAGAGACTGTCAGACCAGGTTTCTGACATACCAAATAAACTGGCAACTGACTAGGTGGGTGGTTTTCTTTAACCTATAAAATTCTACACAGGAGCTCTGCAGGACAAGTATCAGAGTGCAGCCAGTTACCTTCTCTCACTTTGAGACAGAGAATGTCATAGGCATGGAAGATGTTAATTTCACATAAGCATCTACTTCATAAATGAAGGCCCACAGTTTACTGATAAAAGATATAACTCCTCTACTCCTATCCCCTGCTCTCTAGCTCTTTTCCTTCTTATTAACAATAGTACAAGTTTACAGTAGAGCACTCTGAATATCTTCTAACCAAAATGTCTTATAGGGCTAGTCACTTTCCAAGATCTCTTCTATTTTTAACCATGAAGTCTATCAGATCTTAAAGGGTTTTGCAGGAAGTATTAACAATAAGGCTACAAATTTGATTGTTCTTGCTTAGAAGAAAAAAGACTGAGCCCAAGTCAGTTGATAGCATACTTCAAGACCCTCAAGGCCTGCTCCCTAAGAACAGGGTAGGCTGGAGGACTGGGCAACCTCTGCAGATACACAGTACAACTTCTCTCTCAGAGTAGCAATCAGAGAAGGAAATGAGAGCAGTAATGCTTATTATGGTATGGCACTGGTAAATTCTTTAGCCCTCACCATGTGGCAAAGTATCCCTATCATGTTCCTGTTCAAACTGAGAGCTAGGATCCCATAACAGAAGCCTATCAAAATAATCCTGGAGATGCAAATGAACACATGCTAACTTGGGCCTGGTTTCAACCCTAGATCAGCAGTACTTATGGAATGTCAAAATCCTCAGCTGTGCCCTGGCTGCTAAAAATCTGCATATACCAGCCACTATCATGGACACTATACATACGTGATGACCTCATTTAACTTTCGCAATAACTCTATGAGATATGGAAACTGAGTGAGACACAGAAAAGCTCAGTAATTTTCCCTAAGTCACACAGCTATTAAAATGATCAACGGGATTAGAACGAACCCCTATCTCTTTGGCTTTACTCCACTACCTTAAAAAGAGATAGCTGTTCTCTGCCTTTCCTTTTACATTTGGAGCACTGGTCTTTCCAAGGGGAATAAGAATAGGAAATAGATATCCTATAAGCCCAATCTGATGTTTTCAATGGTGTTTCCTCTTACTAGAATCGTATGCATGAGTCTTTGCATCTGTTCAACAGCATATGTAACCACAAGTTCTTTGCGGCTACTTCCATTGTCCTCTTTCTCAACAAGAAGGACCTCTTTGAGGAAAAAATCAAGAAAGTCCATCTCAGCATTTGTTTTCCAGAGTATGATGGTGAGTGTTAGGGGCTAGAGACAACAATAACGTCTTTTAGTAGTGACTGGTGATTGCCTCATTTCCTAAGCCAAGGTGACATAAAGAAACTTATCTTATGGGAGAAACTTGAGTAGTTATAGGGTTTAACTTCAGATGTGTCCAGATAGAGCAGACATTCAATGCAGGAGAGCCACTGACTGTTCAAATGATACCTACTGGAAACCCAAGGCTAAGACATAGAGACAGTTCTCAATTTCTCCGTTCAATTCAAGTGGGAGACACTGGAGTAAAACAGATAGAAACCTCCCTCCAAAAATAGGTCTCCAACTGCAGTTGTCTAATACAGCATTTCAAGGATCAAGTCAGTCACCTAAAAAGTAAGCAACTAAGAAGGGTTAATTTATCCCATTTCTTCATTATTTTCTGGAAAACCAGGGAACAACTCCTATGAGGATGCAGGGAATTATATCAAGAGCCAGTTCCTTGACCTGAATATGCGAAAAGATGTCAAAGAAATCTACAGTCACATGACCTGTGCTACAGATACACAGAATGTCAAATTTGTGTTTGATGCAGTTACAGATATCATCATCAAAGAAAACCTCAAGGACTGCGGGCTCTTCTAATCCTCACCATTCCTCAGGTATACATTCTATTAATACAAACAGAATTGGAATCTGGATAATTTCAAGCAGAAAATTATAGTCAATATACCATGCATGACACAAGGAATGAATCCGTTCTTTGTAGATTCGCTTTGTTGTCCAGGCTAGAGTGAGTGCAGTGGCATCAGCCTAGCTCACAGCAACCTCAAACTCCTGGGCTCGAGCGATCCTTTTGCCTCAGCCTCCCGAGTAGCTGGGACTACAGGCATGCGCCACCATGCCCGGCTAATTTTTATATATATATATATCAGTTGGCCAATTAATTTCTTTCTATTTATAGTAGAGACGGGGTCTCGCTCTTGCTCAGGCTGGTTTTGAACTCCTGACCTTGAGCAATCTGCCCGCCTCCGCCTCCCAGAGAGCTAGGATTACAGGCGTGAGCCACCGCGCCCGACCTCATACCTTCTTTTTAAAGTGGGATGGCTAGTGCAGTTTAAAGAGCTCAAGGCCAAGGGTTGGAAGACCTAGCTTTTAGTACTGGTTTTGCACTTTCATACAAAAATGTAAATACTTCATTTCTCTTAAGACCTGAGTCCCCCAACTATAAAATGAAGATACCTTCCCTGCCTGCTTCACAGGGTTATTCTGAGGAGCACACACATAACTGAAAGCACATAAAAGCTGTTGTGGTAAGAGTCACAGGAAGAAATCTTATATAAATGCTGCCATTTATGAAATTCAACACCTGGTTTTTAGAATAAATTATCCCAACTACCCAAGAAAAACAGCAAACCTCTCTACACTCTGTAAAAAGCTATTCAAACAAAAACGTCAATAAACCTACCACTCCTTTTACTAACTGACCTCTATGTGCCTTAGTTCAGAGATTAAGATCATGGGATAGGGGAAATGAATTTGTTAGATTCTAAGGCATGCACCCAAAACTGATCTTTTTTTTTTTTTTGAGACAGGGTCTCACTTTGTCACCTGGGCTAGAGTGCAGTGGCATCACCAGAGCTCACAGCAACCTCAAACTCCTGGGTGATCCACCTGCCTCAGCCTCCTGAGTAGCTGGGCATATAGGTACAAGCTAATTTTTCTATTTTTTTTTATTTCAGCATATTATGGGGGTATAAATGTTAAGGTTACGTATATTGCCCATGCTCCCCCTCTCTACTTTTTTCTATTTTTTCTGTAGAGATAGGGGTCTCACTCAGGCTGGTCCTGAACTCCTGCCCTGAAATGATCCTCCCACCTTGGCCTCCCAGACTGCTAGGATTATAGGCGTGAGCAACGGTGCCTAGGCTGATCATCTTTATTAAGCACAGATTATCCTTCTGTCCCCCAAAGCTGTCAAGCCAACTGAGTTTCCTTTATCTCTATAACTGTTTCTCAGCTATACAAAATACTTTCTGAATAAACTTAGGGGACATCAACAAACTCCCATTCAGAGTACTAATGATTTTATGGCTGCCACTTCTCCATCATAGAATTTAGAACAATTCGAAGATTCTTATTTCAACTGCTACATGTTTCAGGAGAGCAAAAGACAGCTGAGCTTGTTTTAAGCACTGAAAAATCTTTGCAGCTGGGTCCATGTAGTGCTGGCATCTCCCCCAAACAGGCCACCAAGTAAATTATTTCTGTGAACTCTTTTGAGGGGAAATGAAGCTTGTATTTATCTTGACAGGAGGTGGTGAAGTCAAGTATAGATTTAGCACTTACAACTACTAGTGAGGAAAGCTCTTGGCACCCAAGATTTAGTATATAAAAGAAAATGTCAATTAAAATGAAAATCTGCTCCTTGCCAGAAACATCCATTCACACTTAGGCTGCTACTAGCAGTATTAATACCAGAGAGCCATATGAGCTTGAAATAACATTGAATAAATTTGTAGCTGTTAAAATTAGAGTCCTTTAATACTTTTTCTGATTCCCTAAAAAGAAACCAAGAGAATTACCAGAGAAACTACTCTGGCTACTGCCCATTAAAAAAACTTAAGCCAAAGAAAAATCCTGGGCAAGACTTCCTGTATTTGAGAGCTGTTCAGCCTCACGCCTGTAATCCTAGCACTTTGAGAGGCTGAGGCAGGATGACTGTTTGAGCAAGAGCAAGACCCTATCACTACTAAAAATAGAAAAAATTAGCCAGGCATGGTGGCAAGTACCTGTAGTCCCAGATACTTGTGAGGCTGAGGCAGGAGGATCACTTGAGCCCAGGAGTCTGAAGTTGCAGCAAGCTATGATGATGCCACTGCACTCTGGCCAGGGTGACAGAGTGAGACTCTGTCTCAAAACAAATAGACAAAAAAAAAAAAAAGCTGTTCAGGGACTATTCTGAATGGCATGGTTCCAACCATCACTAACCTGTTTACTTTAACTCAACATACAGGGGTTATGGGTCTGTTCTGTATCATGGATCCCTCTGGCAGTCTGATGAAACCCATGGACCTCTTTTCAAAATGCATAAAATAAAATTTAGAAAATTACAAAGAAAACCAGCATACTATAGTTCTACCCCTAAACTCTCTGGAGCTATGAAATCCCAGGTTAAGAACTGTCACTACAGATAGATCTTTTCTATTCAGTCCCCAAACATAATTTATCCCATTTATTCCATCTCCATATAGGATTGCCATACCTAACCTCAAATAGGAACAGATTGTTGCCTTTTATTACCTCTTCCTTGTTCTTCAAATCTAGGTGGAAATTGGTTATGGGCCAAACTATAAAGGTGTAACACAGGTTCTTTGTTTATCAATGTTCACAGAGAACCTGCCTTATAGTTCTAGTATGAAATCAGAGCCAGTGGAACAGGTCTTCTGGCAGACCAATTAAAAATCTCTAGTAGAATAAAACAGGGTTGTATTTTACTCCTATTCTTTTTTTCTAGTAGATATCTCAACATTTAATTGGTTTATAAACAAATTCACACAGGTTACCTTATATGAACACTTTGTAAAAAGTTCATCTTAGAGGATGGAGGGTGAACAGCATTTAAAGCAACACGTTCTACAGCTGTTTTTTAACTTAGGTTATTTTTATCTCATGGACATTCTGACTACGTTCATGAAAAGTTCTCTTTTTATCTCATGGACATTCTGACTGCGTTCATGAAAAGTTCTCTGTATAAAATGGCTGTAAGAAAGATTAAAACCAAAATTAAGCCACTTTGCTGTCTTTCTCTTCTTTTGCCTCATTTTAAATTCACCCTGTACTGTTGAATCTTACATACCTTTAGAAGCCATCAGAAATTGTTTTTTGTAACAAGGTCAGAAACAAATATTTAACCCTATTTTCTCTACAACCTTAATTCTTAGAAGTCTAAAATTAGAAGGAACTGAAAAATACTCCAGGCCCATCACTAGCAATTTATAGATAGGAAAGTGAGGCCCAGGGAGGAAGAGTGTCTTCATTAAGATCATCCTGCTAGAAAGTAACAGAACTAGAACTCCAAAAACAGGTCTTCTGAGTCCAAAGCCGGTGGTGACATCATGCTACCAACAGCCCACCATACACTAAAAAGTCAAAGTCAATTTCCCATTCTTCTAAGCTCCTCTCATTCCCAAATTCTTGGTTATTTTTTAGTTATTATGCCATCTCTAAATCATGGATATTTGACAAAACCATCTCTAAACTAAGACAAAGAGATCTCATAATGAAATGTGAAAATGGCATATGATCACAAAAATATAAATAAGTTTGCTTGTTTGTTGAAAGTATAATTTCCTACTCATATCCTTAGAGGGCAGAGAGTATATAATGTACTTCCTAACATAGCATGATTGAAGAGACACTGCTAACAATAAACCAAATATAAATTAGGTTACATTTCACATAAATGATGACAATTTTTTTTTCTTACAAAAATACATGATTGACACAAAAGGGCGAATACTGTATGATCCCACGTACATGAGGTTACCTGAAATAGTCAGATTCACAGAGACAGAAAGCAGAATGACGGTTACCAGGGGCCGGGGGAAGGAGGAGAATGGGGAGTTAATGTTTAATGGGTATAGAGTTTCAGTTCACAAAGATGAAAAACAGTTCTGGAGATAGATGGTGGTGATGGTTGTGCCACAACGGGAAATGTATTTAACACCACTGAACTGTGTACTTCAAAATTATTAAGATGATAAATTTTATCACAATTTAAAAAATGGGAAAAAATACACTGTAATTGGAAATTTGCTTTTATATTTTCTGTGGATAAAGGATGGATAAAAGCAGCACAAAAATTCAGTCTTAAAAGCTATATAAAAGATACATTAACATGTAACAGTTCCTACTCTGATAATAAAACTCACATGTACCCCCAAATAGTCCACATCAGAGTACTCCCTCTGATTCCTATGGTGAGACACACACATTGAAAACCCACTCTAAACTTGGAGATGTGCCGTAGACCAAAGTGTGCCGGCCATGCTGGGTGGAGAAGGTGGTGAAGGGTGAAGAGCTCTTACCTCCCACTGCCCTCTCTACCCGGCACAGCCCCCGGAGCACAGATTCCAGCAGGACTTCGGTGTTGGGCCAGGGACTGCAAGTGTGACAGAGCCTCTGGTGGTCCTGCTAGGTAAAAGCGTGAAGACGTTTCTGTGAGGTCAGACAGACATACTCAAGATTGAAGAAGGAAACTTTGTATGAATAGAAAATAGCAAACTGGATTTAAATGTAAAACAAAGCAAAAACCTTTTCACCCTACTTTACAAACTTTAAAGCAATTTATAGTTCAACTTCATTTCAGGTCTTCAAAATGAATATGAACAAAGTGATGCTGTGAAAAGACCGCCAGCTACAATGAATACATTTGTTGGTGTTGCCTTGGGATGGTACTTTTTTTGCAGTGCAGTATTATCACAAAGAACATTTATAAAGCACTTTCAAGTATGTTATTTCTACTTGATGAGAACCGCAGAGTATCACAGCTAGAAGAAATAATTGAATATAGTCAATCTTCAGATAACAGATGAGGGACATAAGACTGAAAGTGACCTACACAAGATTTCATAGCTAGTTGGAAGCAGAGAAAAGACCAAACCCAACTCTCTAAACAACTCTCCAATTTCATAAGATTTTAAGAGGTCTCAGGACCTTTATCCTATATGAGCAAGGATAAACAGAAACAACAGGTAATTTCTTGTTTTGTTATGTCTGCTGGGAATCTCGCTTACCTATAATTTAAGCCTCTTAGGAAAAATGTCTGGATAACCCAAGGAG